GATTTTTTGAGTTGATGGATTAAATCTAAAATTTGTACAATAGTCGAGAAACCAAAATGAGGTTTAACCTCTATAAAATTTGAAAAGGTTGCATCGAAACAAAATCAAAATACTATACAAGGTACATTGTAATATGTAGATGCTTGTTCGGTGGAATTTATATTCAAGTTGATGGACTTGGACATGGCATTAGATTCTGCCTTTTTGGTCGACTGATGAATATATAGCTATATATAATAGTCTCCCCCCTTTTTTTTTTATCATAATCTTTTAAATAAGATTATAGTTTTCTTTTTGAATTGAAATTAAGTGATATTTTGAGTCAATTTAAATGTAATAAATTTAGTTTTATCTTATTAGATTGATCTAAGATAACTTTGCAGAATTGAGCTAATTTCCTCATGATCTCATAATTAATTATTTATCAATAAAATAAGAAACAAACCCCCTTACATATGAAAACCTTTGAGTAATAATTTAGGTAACTTATTAACTAGGTAACTTATTAACACTTAGGAAGGAAAATGAATCAATTCTGTAGCTACGGTTCCTCATCAATTCCTACCTAAATTTGTTACTACTACTAGTGTTTTAATTTAGTTTGCGTCAAGCTGCAACTACTCTCTGACTTCTAATTTACGCCTGTAATTCAATGATATGTGGGTCCAATTCTTAACGAAATGAATTCAGTACTTATGAAGCTCATTCCCAAGACCCTACCCCTACACTGGAATTACCAATTCAAGATTCAACCGCCAGTTTGTTTCTAGTTTTCCATTTTGTAATCAATACTACTTGGAGTTGGAGCTTATATGCTCCAAAGTTGAAAGTAGAAATCAATTTTGGAGATACATGTGGACGACAGGTGGTTGGGCTGGGGCCTGGAAGACAACTAGACGGGAGGAGCGTGTGGAAGAAAATGATGGTCCTGAAAGGGGATGGATAAAGGAACAGGCAGCTGTAGGATATCCAGTGAGAAGTTAACAAATTTCAATGATAAAGAATCATTCGACTCAAAACTTTGACTTTGCATACCAGAATGAAAAGAAACCCTCAAATTCCATTTCTTTATTTATTCCGCAGGGAATATACTGACAAAAAAACACAGCAATTCCAGGCGCCATCCATGCCCCAGCAATGCGTGATTCATAAGCAAACATCAGCGCATCACAGCTCAAGCAAGTTGCTTTGCTTTATAAGGTTCCGATCGCTAAAGATTGCAGACAGGAAAGGAACAAAGGAGAATTAAAATACAGTATGGATGCCAAAGATTCAAATACCAATTTCATTTTGTACAAATTTCTCTTCATAAACTGTTCTTACTGAAATTGAAACTTCAACGACCAAGGAAACAGAAAAAGGAAGAAAAAAAAATTGCTCCTCACTCGAGACTCTCTTACTTACAAGAAAATACAATAAAATGGCTAGGGAGTTTTCTCTTGACACAATTACACAAGCCATCCTCTTGTACCATTAAGGACCTTACTCTCTTTATTTAGTTGAACCAACTCTCGTTTACTTCCTTTCTCATGACTTACTACATATACAAAGAACCCTTTAAATATTATATACAGTAGACAGGGAATTCTCTTTTTGCCTCTCTAAGAACTTCAAAATTCTTCCCATGCTATTAAATTTTTTGCTTGCTCGAAGTGGTTTTTTCCTCGTTTCTTCTTTTGTCTATTTACTCTTAATTGGATGAATCGGGCTTTAAGCCAGGGCAGGAATGCTGCAATTTCGCCGATCCCTGTCCAGGCAATCGAACCCCTCAATTCTCACAGCTGGCTTGTTACCAAAATTTGCCCGTATGCAACCTCCTTTCCTTGCAGATGAAGATGGGGATGATGATAAACCTGAAGGGTGCGGGATGGGTGAAAGCTGCGACAACGGGGGAATTTTATCATCCCCAAATCGAGCATCCTGAATTAACGGGTTAGCTACTCTGCTCGGCGGCGACCCAAATAAAAAAGGGGGCGACGAGGCTACATGTGTGCAAGATTGTTCCCCACCATAACCACCCTGCAAAGTTCAATCAGAAATACAAAATCAACAAACTTGTTGATACAAACATCAATTTATAAGACAGTACTTCCCCACCATATCAAATTAGTTAAATTAATAATTTTTTTTACAAGACTTGGAAACAAAAACGTACCTTTGTGAGGATGATATCCAAAAGATCACTCCCAGCTTTTGAATCATTCATATCTGCTTGATGGCTGAAATTTCACAAAAAAGAAACACAAAAGTTAAACAAACTATAAGGTAAAAACACAAAAGTTGGAGGGTACGGTTGTGGGCAAGGCACAGAACCAAGACAAATTTACCTGAGTTGCCATCTGAGAGACCTGACAGGGTGGTCGTTGATGGTTGAGTTTAGAAGACTCAAACGGCGTGGTTTGGGGCAGATGAGAGTTTGTCTTAGATCCGAAACAGAAACGGAGCTCCATTTGTCTTCCCGTGTTGCAGTCACGTTTTGCTGGATCGCACAATGATTCATCTTTCCGTCTCTATTTTTCTTGATTAAAAAATTAATTTCACTGAATTAAAGGAGACAAAAAATTATTTCCAGTCATGCTTAAAGATAATACAGCTCACTTTAATCAAGCCAAATAAATAATGGAAAACTATGTACCAAAAAAAATAAAAATAATAATAATGGAAAACTGCCGGTCGGACTCGACAATTTCCTCCGTCTTGGCAAGGAGGCGGAAAAAACGCCGCATAATTTTAGATAACAAAATTGATATTTCTTCCGAGAGATTAGGGCTTTTTTTTTTAGCTGTTTTAATAGGTATGTTACAAGAAAACCAGCCGTATCTACAAATCTAATTGCAATTTTCACCGGAATTATTTATCTCAGATCTACAGAGCTTAATAGACAATTTCAACAATTAAGCTCTGAAGAGTCAATAAAAGAAACAAATTCTGCTTCTCAAAAGAACATAATCAGCTTGCGGGATACGAATCACCATCTTCACAAGCTTTTGACAAACAAAACCTCCAGATCCACACCGGAAGGGAAAGCCGGCGAACTTTCGGTACCAAAAGAAGAAACAGAGAAAGCAGAAAAGAAAGACAGATATAGAAGAAGTTTCGTACCTTAGCTTGAACTATATGGTACCAGAATTCGTAGAACTCCTTAACCAGAAAGTAGATATAAACAGAGACACCCCAGAAAAGAATTGAGTGGAGAAGTTAGAGGGGAGGGGGGATGGGGGAGAACGATGGACAGTAAAAAGGAGAGGTCCCCTGTGAGATTTATGGAAGGGAGAGAAGGAAGTCAGAGAAAAAAGGAAAATATATAGAGAAAAGTCGTTGGTATTGGGCAACAGGCAGCACAGCTATGATGAGAGAGAAGAGTGAAAAAATGGAAGGCAGAGGTACAAAGAGGAGACGAGCAGAGTCCTGCTAAGCACCAACTTCTCTTCTTTTTTATTTTATTTTTTTTGGCATCAAGATTTTTATTTTTTAGTAAGTTTCTTATGGCATCACGCAGGCGGCGCCTCCCGCGAGAAATCTCCTCGGTACCAACACACATTTGGGAAAATAATAGTATTTTGGGGATTGCCTTATACCCTCTCTTAAATTACATCAGTTTTTTGTTGTAGAGATTTTATGGATGGTGTGTGTGCTCAATCTTGATTTTTAAAGCTCTGTCTAGTATAAGTGGTATAATATTGGTTTTTAATTTTTTTTATTTTAAAATGTTAATAATAAAATAAATTAATAAAATGTAAATTAATTAAAATTTAATTTTTGGTATTAGATTTAAAAATTTTTATGTTATTTATTTTAATTATTAATTATTTAAATATGAACAACTAAAATGAAAAATAAAGTTAATGACTTAAAGAAATAGTATCTATCAGTCTTACTTTCTAAAGATTAAGAGGAAATCATCTTAAAATTACGTCGTTTCAATAAATTTTTATTGAAAAAGACTAAACTATCATATTTTTAAAGTATGCATTAAGGTATTTTTGTCTTTTTTTTCTCCTAATTTTTTAGAGATAAGGCGGATAAACATTAACCCCATGACTTAAATATTTTAATGATAATTTTTTTAACAAAAATAAAAGATTTTAAATTTAAATTGCATGTCATTCAAGTAAGATAAATTAAGACAAATTAAGACATAAGAAATAATTATTTTTTATTGTGTAACTTAAAATAAAAAAATCAAAAATAAAAAACTCCAACAATTCTAAAAGGAGTTTAATTATTTGCTAGAAAGGTATCAGATGATATGAGCAGTTTCTCAGCCATTCAACTCAAATAGGCAAAACCATACATTTAGCCCTCAAACTTATTTTAAATTCTCGATTAATCCTTAAACTTTTATTGAAGCAAACAAGCCCCTTGAACTCAATAATATGAGCAATTTAACCCTCTTTTTTTTATGGTAGACTTAATGATCATTTGTGTTTCGTTTACGTGGATAAAATATTAACATATCATTACCTACATGACAGATATTGATATTATTTACACAAATTAAGCACAAATGAGAGTTAAGTGCGTGAATAAAATATTAATATATCATTACCTATGTGACGGATAATGGTCTTATTTATGTAAATAAGGCACAAATGGGAGTTAAGTTTGCCATGAAGGCTTATTTGCTTCAATAAAAGTTTAGAAACTTAATAAAAAAAATGTAACATAAATTTAAAGTTTAATGTAGGATTTTGTCAATCAAATATGAGGGTTAAAATGACAAAAATACCTTTACTTCCAACGTATAGACTAAAAAATTTAAGAATAAGGATTGAATGTGTACCATTTTATTTTTAGTTTTGTACCAAGGAAAAAAATATGAGACATCCTAAATCTTTATTGGTGCTTGCAATACAGTCCAAAATCTTTAAAATGTACCAAAGAGGACGATTGCTACTCCTCATTGTGTTATACTTTCATTTTTTTATTTTTAATGGACATTGACGGAGAGGAGAGTATACCACCATATGATTTGTATCCAAACTTAAATGCCCTAAATTAATTGATGGATTGTTGGGATCAATTGTTATAAAGGTTAGGGACTACGGATGTTTCAAAATTAAACTTAGGAATGTAAATGTTTAATATAATAAGGGCTAGGGTCGTTCTAAAAAATTATTATCCTTGATTTTAAAGGAAGTAATTTATTAATGTGTTTCATATTTTACTATCCAAACCGTAACACATAAATCTTAAAATGGGGATAATCCTTAATTTTAAAGAATTTATCTTCATTTAATAATTTAAATTGTGTAATTATTTACACTATAAATTCAAAATTTTAAGATTATGCCACATGTCATTTACTTTTTAAATGGATGGAAGGGATGCTGCCATGTTAGATGTGTTGTTGGAACCCTTGATAGATCACTTGTCACATGGAAGGTGGAGTCTAAATAGATGAGAATTATCTATTAATTATCTATTTGAATTGAAGTGGACTTGTAATTGCTACATTTAAGGAGATGATTTGGTTAAGAGAATGAGATGGCAGATAATAAGGACATGTCGTGAGCTCTGGATGAAATTTTGACTTAATCCATCGTTGAGGTGTCCATTTTCTCCAAGAAATCACCTATGTTATGCAACCACTAAGTAGTGGGGGAGTTACAAGCGTTGGAGGAGACAAACGAAAGTAAAATTTTCAAATCATTCAACATATGATCAGCCCTATACACATCTCGGAGCTAGCTTTAGCACTTTTAGATCTTGTTAGCAATCACTTACTTTAGTTTTCAGATTTTAGTTTTCAACACAATTCTTAATAGTTTTAGGTTGTTTTCAGCATTCAAATAGCCAAATTAGTTTGAGTAGTTGCTTCTACAATTTCTCTTTCATGTAATGAACAACAAGTTTTTCAATTTTTGCAAGGTGTTGTTTCTTTTTTGTTTAGTCTTTGTTTAAGGTTTATAATAAATAGTATTTTTTCAAATGATTACTTACATGGCACTTACGCTTCTTCTTAGTTTCTAGCATGTTAGTTTAATCTTTGTTTATATTAGTTTCATGATCATTTAAGATTAAATATCCAATTATGTGCTAGTTTAATTTCCAGTTCTATTTTTAGATTGTAGTTTAATTTGACAATGAAAATGCTTAGTTTAACTTGGATACATCTTTTCAAGTTTACTTTAATTTGCATTTCATTTAACTCATTTAAGATTTGTTAACTTTAATTCATGGTAGTATTTAAGTCTTTATAGCTGTTAAAGGTGGATTAGTAACCCATTATGCAAGAAGGTATGTCTTTCTCTTGTAAATTGTCTAAAGGCACAAATTACAACTTTAAACTAACCTTCTTCCATTTATCTGTAAGGAGGTTGATCGTGAAAAAAGAAAGGATTGTTGAGAAAATTTTCTTTTCTTATTTTATAAAAAGCAAATGACATGCTTTGTATTCAGATTTGTCACATGTAATGTCACTTTAGGATTTTTTGAGGAAACAATAATAACATATAGAGTTTTTCTATTTTATACGTTTAGAACATGTTAAGGGTATTTTTATTATTTTTTTTTTATAATTAATTTATATAAAAAATATAATTGTTAATTTTAATTTAATTAATTAATTAAAACTATTTATATGATAATAAAATTAAAATAAAATTTAATTTTTATGATTTTTTATATAAATTTTTTATAAAAAATATTTATTAGCCACTTAATTTATATATTAAAAATATAAATTAAAAAAACTTTATAATATAATTTTGTTTGCACAAAATTTTTTTTAATTAATTGTGGGTCGTCTTGTCCGTTCTCTGTCCGTTGGTTTTGATTACATTATCACGTGGAGGGGAGTTATATTGAAGGAAACACAGAACCCATGTGCAGTACATGTTTCTTGAGGGAAGAACATGACATGTTGGCCACGTTTCGTCCACATAACCATACTAATGTGTTGTAATTTTCGGATATATAAGGCAATTGCTTTGATCCCCTGCTCTCTCCTGCACCGTTTGTCCCCCTGCACATCAAATCTCTCGATCTACCACCTTTCTCATTGTCTAGAGATTCTGTGGATCGTAGTTTCGTACGGATATCGGGCGCACGTTTCCTCCACCTCTTGATTTCTCTATCATGATATTTTTAGATGGCATCGATGTGCAATGTGTGCTCCATAATTTTTAAACGTATCATGCCATAATTTTTAAACGTATCGTGCCACGTGCTTTTGGATCTAGGAAACACAGACAAGAAAAGTGTGGTATTAATATTAGTATTTAAAAATTAATTATTTAAATAATTTAGTAATTATTTTTTTTTTATTAAAAATAACCTCGAGCTTTTGGATCTAGGAAACACAGACAAAAAAGTGTAGTATTAATATTAGTATTTAAAAACCAGCTATGCAAATAATTTAATAGTTATTTTTTTTATTAAAAATAAGAAATTTTTAATTTAAGTCACGTGACATATGGGTGGAGTGAGATAAAAGATGAAAGAATTATCTCTAATTATACAACCGAAATAAAAAAATACAACAAAATACAACCGAGATAAAAAAAAAAAAAGTGTTTAAAAGTATCATGTGACATTGGGAGCCATGCTTCTATTCGATGGTTAAAGATAACATACTTTGAATAGAATAGATTACATTTTAGTTTTCTGTTAATATTCATTGTAAGTATTTATTTATGAAAAAATTAGGTTTAAACCCTATTTTGGTCCTTGAGTTATTGTACGAACTCTTAATTTGATTTTTATTTTAAAAATATTTAATTTGGTCTCTATTGTTTATCATTTTTACCTTAATTTAGTCCTTTCATTAATTTTTTACGTTAATTGATGGACAAATACAGAAGAAGGATTACATGTCACATAAAAATTGACAAGTTGGCAAAAATAGATGAAATGACCATTCCAACTCATCCCACCCAAAATTTTTTTTTTCGTTCCTCTCTTTCATCTACCATTTCTTCAACTTCTACAAATCCTAACATCTCAACCAATTTCTATCTTTGCTGAGATCTTCATCATTATCATCAAACAATAAAACCTGCAAAAAAAATTTTTTGCCTATAGATTTTTTCGAACCCAATAGTCACCCTTTCTTTCTCCTTCCACTTCCTTACCTTACCTTTTTCATCAATCAATTCTTTATCTTCATCAATAAATTCTTCATCATCATCAATTAACAAAACCCAATTTTTTTTTTTTTACCCCTAAGTTCGATGGAACCTAGGGCTGGGTCCCAAGGAACCCAAGATTGGGTTCAATGAAACTCAGGCACGTCGGGTTCCACTGAACCCAATGCCTAGGTTCAAAGGAACCCAGGCGTGCAGGGTTCCATGGCTTGGGTTTCGAACCAAGGCACATTGGGTTCCAAGGGGAAAGAAAAGATAAAGGGGAAAGAAAAGATAAGGGGGAAAGAGAAGGAAAAAGAAAAAAAAGAGGATTTTTTAAGTTTTATTTAATATTTTTTTATATTATTATTTTTTTTTATATCATCACTTTTTTTTGTCTTATTATCTTCCACGTGTATTAATATTTGACGTGTCATTTTGTAACTATGAAGCAACAGGCCACATAACTAGAATTTTAACGGAATGACCAAATCGAGGTAAAAATGGTAAACAATACTACAATAGGGACCAAATTAAGGATTTTTTCAGTTTAAATACCAAATCAGGGTCTGTACAATAATTCAAGGACCAAAATGAGATTTTGACCAAAAAAATTATTTTGTAGTTTGAAATGAATTAGATTGTACAATAAAAATTATTTGATAAAGAGTAAGTTTTTTTTATATTAAATCCATTTTTTATTTAATTATTTTTATTTTATAATTTAATATACATTAAATTTCAAAATAAGAAACCTTTTATCGCTCTATTGAGTAAATATAAATTATGTTGAAAGTACAAGTTTAAATATCTTTCCTACATTACTAAGCAATACTAATAAAATAATAACATACATGTAATTTATTTTTATAATATTTCTTTCTTTTATAATTTTTCAATATTTAAATAAATAAAAACATATAATTTTTTTAATATATGAAAAGAGCATATTATCAAATAACATAAAATTAAAGAAAAATTTATATCTAAAAATTGTCGCTAAATCATTTTCTCAATTCTTATAAACCATGCACGCAATGAGTACTCTCAGTGGGGTGTGCCAAGTCATGAAATTTAACATGAAGCAACCAATATGAATTCAGTTTGTGATATCTTAGTCTTGAAGAATAAAGACCTTAACTTTATTAAGGGAAAAGTTAAAGATCTCTCCTTTGGACTCTTAATCACTGAGAGAACAAGCCACTGGCAATTTAGCTATTAAGAGAAGCAGTAGTTTCTTCTCACTTTAATTACCTCCATATTTCCAGGAATTTTCACCGATGACACGATTTAACTTCGAGAAAAGCATGATTTTCTAACATAATTTCATCAATTAGGTGGCGAAGGAAAGCTAATTCCTAATTCCTTCCCATGAAGATATTTTCCGTAATTGGAGAGATTATTAGACTCATACAAAGCACCTAACTTTCTTTAGCAAAAGATCAATTTTAGGTATATATACTCAAACTCAAATGATGAACTTCCTAACCAAATTAATGAGGTAGATGGGGGAGATTGCTCCTTAAGTAAAGGGCTTGAAATCTTGTGAAGTATTAGAGGGGTAGAGGTTGTGGTTGGTGCAACCATCATAGCCCCACTAACCCCTTCCGTCAAGAACAGCAAAAGACAGCTTGAAAAATAAAAATCCTAACCGCAAAAGCTAGATTTATTGGTTCTTTGTCAAGGAAATGAATCAAAAACAAATCATGATTATGACTAATATAGAAAGAAAATTCCATATTCGTTGATGCCACATTCCCTACTTTTCATTTTACTACACAAAAGTTACAAAGGGTGACGCTTTGTTGAGTATAAAGGCATTGCGTCACATTACAAAATGAGTAAAATAGCAATTTTAGTACAACTGCAAAACAATTGCGTCCGAATCATTAACAAAGAGTGAAAATAGAATTTTGATGTGATATCTTCATCGACAAAGTCATACTATTAGAACATTTTTCAATTAAAATAACTAATAAGAATCATAGCTCATGCTTCATGCCATAACAAGTGAATTACTTTTCCATAGAATAATGTTTGATGTCATGAAGATTCCTATAAAATGAATCCAAAAAATTACTAGTAAATGACAATATTCCTCCAGGAAGGATGGTAGGAGATACATACACGCTTCAAATTTTTTGCATGTGCTACTCTACGCACAATTTTAGAGCAAAGAGATGGTTACAACTTACTTACAAGTTATTCAAGCAGAAGTGGGTTCAGTAGGAGTGGCTGCAGCCCTCTTCTTCGCAAAGTATTCTTCAGCTCGGGCAAGATTCTTTGCAACCGAGGGCTTAACCCACTTCTTTCGTCCTGGCAGTACAGTTAGAGAGCAGCCAGCAGCCTCAAGCTTTTCTCTTGCAGATGATGAAAAGGCTTGTGCTTTAATATTCAGCTTAACACTCAGTTCCCCATCCCCTAGAATCTAAATCACCCCAGAAAACATGCAAATCAGCAAACTGAAATTCACATATAATAAAGCATAGTAATATGTTGAACAAGGCAATCTATAGGTTTGGACAAATGCATGGATTGAAGGAAATAAAGACTAAGCAGTGCCATATGTTTATGTATCATGTGCATCAATGTGGTCTACAATGACTGTATGCACTGCATGGCATTCAAGCTCTTTACAATGAGTTAGACACGTTACAAATAGAACACAATAAAAGGAGCAGTCTGTGGTAAGGAGAGGAAAGTAGACCATGGTGAACTCCTTATAGTTGGTACCGTGAATCCTACATCTAGTGCATATACTGATTATCAACTATGTGCCATATTCTTTTATAGGAATTCATTGCAACTAAAAAGTTTCTGCCTTTATGACAATTGTTATGATCATTTTGAATAAAGTCAAAATCAAGTGTTCTAATGAATCACGATGAACACATCTTACACCATATGAATCCAAGAGCTAGAGTGTATACCAGTATATTACAGGTCTTAGGTTAAAGCCATATTGCACTTACCATGTAGCCAAAAAGGTAAGAAAAAAACGAGTTTGAAGTGAAAAGAAGTTCCAAGAAGGGGATATCATAATCTAGGATGTGAGTGCAGAAAGTCTGATCTGAAGTCTGAACTGTATCATAACATTACCAAGTTCGATATATACCTTTAAAGGAAGTTTCCTTTCTCTTCCTGATGGGTTGATCAAACCTTTCTCCTTCAAAGTCTCTAGGGAAACCTCATCCCCTTCTTGAAATCCTGCAGTTTCTATGTCTTTTAAGTTGACAGGAACATATTTAGGTAACCCTGCGTGCATGCCTTGGGAAAACAAGAACAGGAAAAATATTTTAGTAAGAATATCAAATAGGTATACAGAGATGCACAAAGATAATTGTGCATCCTGATGTAAAAGGGAAAGGAAGATTACATGAAATTTTAGGGAAAAGATATCAGTTAAAAGGAAAAAATATCTATAATTAATGTATGGATATCCTAGGTGAAGAGATTTGAATAGCCAGCCTAAATAATGCAATTTTTTTTTTTTTTTCACTTTTCCTTCTAATAACTACTAAGAATGGCTTGGACAACAGGCACAAATACCATACACTGAAGTTCTAGCTTTCTAAGAAATATATGTAATAAAGGATAAAATTCTACAGTAGTCAACCAAATGAAGATATCATCTCATTTTTAACCCTTTCAGTTTCTTCCAGACATCAGCTGCAATATTCCTATTGCCAAGGGTAAATTTCTTGACGCCAATTGTCAAGCTTAATTCTATTCTCAAAATCATTTCAAGGAGAAAAATAAAATTAATTTCATTTTCATTTCAACAAGAGAATATGAATCAAAATTCACAGTCACTCCATCATAAGACTGCCATTAATCCATATCCAATTTATTGTGCTTTTAGAAGATTAGAAGAAGAAATAACATTTAGAAGACCAGTTGTGACACTATTGCATCCACTTCACTAAGTGTCTCTTGAAGAAGAAAGAAGACATCAACTGATATCCTAGACTCTGGACTCTAGACTTTTATGCAGGTTCCTCATTGTCATTACAATCAGTACTCTGCATGAATTTTGCCATGTCAATTAAGCAAGAAGGTCTTATAATACAATAATAGTGAAATTAACTAATACAGATGAAAGTTAGAAATGCTCTATGCTCAAGACATTCTGGAAAGGCCAGCTAAAATTCCACCAAAAAAAAAAAAGAGTTAGTAAAATAAATATTTTGCCATTGGCACTGCAGTCAACAAATCAAGGTGATACTAAACCTTAATCCCTATTTATCTGATACCAAAAAAACTGCAGCTTTGGCTGGCTATATTTAATGATCACAACTCAACCTGGAATCCCACATGCTTGCTTCATTTCTTATTGGACATTGTAGGAAGCAACAGCATTGTCAGCACATGCACAGAGGTTAATAAGTTGCATAATATACTTTCGAAATAATTTCGACTTTGAACTGTGCCTTTGCTCTCAAGCAGACACACACAATGCACAGGATACACCACGATAAAATTCAATTTACTCAAAATCATCTCAACAATAGAAAAACAAAACACTAGCCTAATAAAGCAAAGAATTACCTCCAGCAATCCCCCTCAATTTGGGGATACGGCGATAAAGCGGCATCTGCCCACCCTCAAACCCCTTTCTAACCCCGGGACCAGACCTTGATTTTTGGCCCCTCATACCAAACCCACAGCTATTCCCTTGGCCGGCTGATATACCTCTCCCCTTTCTCTTCGCCCTCTTTCTCGACCCGGGCTGCGGCCCCAGATTGTCCAACCGGAACCTAGTAGAAGACACTGTGCCCGCAACTTGGGACGCCGAGGCTTGATTGACAACCACCAAGGCTCTTGCTCCCTGTTGTTGTTGTTTGCTCCTAGAGATTAGTTTGAGGGGGAGAATTTGACATGGGTTTGGCCTCAAATTTCTCAGATTTCCCTGTAATGCAGGAAAACTTAGTGACACTATGACAATGGAGGTGAAGTAGGAGAAACACAGAGAAAAAGAGTGTACCTTGAACGAGGAATGAAGGGAAAGTGACGTTCTAACGGGAGGATTGAAAGAGAGTGAGAGCATAGCTGCCATGGAGATGAAGATGATGAAATTGAAAGACTGCACCTTTGCTCCCCGGATCAGTGTCTAGTGAAGCTTACAGGATAGGGATAAGTAACTCTGTACAGTTGTTCCCGCTACAGTTTTTCCGGTGGGTCAGGGAGTAGGAAATATGCAGGCCTGCTGCATGATTAGTTGAGAATAAGCCCAGCCCACAACTGTAGTTGGACTGAAATTGACCGAAGAAAATTCTAACCAAACAGGCCCTAGCAGACTTTTGAGATAAACTCTATGTAAAGCTATTCATGTTTGGATTTGGGGAGTCACTTCCTTAACGCAAAGGAGATATCTCGTATGTTTTCTTCATTATTTAATGAAGTGGCTAGAAATTTAACTCAAAGCCTGTGACTTAAGATAAAGCCAATCCTACTATTAAATCACATCATTGATAGTAGTGGATGTCTTATGGTTAAGACTGCGTCACAAGCTGTGTCGCAAAAGGCGCCGGCACTAGGCAACAGTTTTAGAGCTGGGCATGATATGGTACGATTACCGTACCATTTTTAAATGATGATAATCATTTTAAGTTGTAATGAAAAAAATTTATCATTTTCATACCAATTAATGATTTTTTTGGTAATGATTGCCAACCATTTTTAACGATAATGAAACTTGTCTTACCAATACCATCCCATATTATCATTTTTAACCTTATTTTCTCCATTATCAATTAATTTAAGTTATTCAAAATTCAATCTTAAAAATTCAAAATTATCTTAAAAACTTATGTTCTCCATACCGTTCTTCATCATCTTGAAGCATACAAATATATAATTATACAA